ATTGGCCAATTTTTAACATGGTCGTTTTTCACAGATTCGGCCACATGGGCCTAATTGAGTATCATCCGATTTATCGTTGTTTAATCTTAAAACTATAGGCTTTAAGTGGCATTTATCAACCTACAGACGACAATCGTGATCTGTAGGTGTCATGGAATACGAAACATCTGTAAAATGGAGGGGTCAGAAAAATCGTCCAAAAAAAAGTATGGGCTATTATAGCTCATGGTTTTTGCTAAAATTGGCCTATTTTTAACATGGTCGTTTTTCACAGATTCGGCCACATGGGCCTAATTGAGTATCATCCGATTTATCGTTGTTTAATCTTAAAACTATAGGCTTTAAGTGGCATTTATCAACCTGCAGAGGACCCTCGTGATCTGTAGGGTGTCATTGAATACGAAACATCTGGAAAATGGAGGGGTCAGAAAAATCGTCCAAAAAAAAGTATGGGCTATAGCTCATGGTTTTTGCCAAAATTGGCCAATTTTTAACATGGTCGTTTTTCACAGATTCGGCCACATGGGCCTAATTTAGTATCATCCGATTTACCATTGTTTAATCTTAAAACTATAGGCTTTAAGTGGCATTTATCAACCTGCAGACGACAATCGTGATCTGTAGGTGTCATGGAATACGAAACATCTGAAAAATGGAGGGGTCAGAAAAATCGTCCAAAAAAAGTATGGGTTATAGCTCATGGTTTTTACCAAAATTGCCCAATTTTTTACAAGGTCGTTTTTCACAGATTCGGCCACATGGGCCTAATTGAGTATCATCCGATTTATTGTTGTTTAATCTTATAACTATAGGCTTTACGTGGCATTTATCAACCTGCAGAGGACCCTCGTGATCTGTAGGTGTCATGGAATACGAAACATCTGAAAAATGGAGGGGTCAGAAAAATCGTCCAAAAAAAAGTATGGGTTATAGCTCATGGTTTTTGCCAAAATTGGCCAATTTTTAACATGGTCGTTTTTCCAAGATTCGGCCACATGGGCCTAATTGAGTATCATTCGATTTATCATTATTTAAGCTTAAAACTAGGCTTTAAGTGGCATTTATCAACCTGCAGAATACTCAGATTGTGATCTGTAGGTGTCATTGAATGGGGGTGGATAATGGGAGGTGCGAAAACCCGAGTGGGGGGGGGGTGGTTTTGTAATTTTTTTCAAAATAAAAAACGGCGGAAAAATGAAAATTAGACTTAAGTTTTGAGAATAAGAGTGTCATTTCCGGCCTCGCTAGAGGTGCCATAAGCATAAATGTTTTTATCTCAGCCACAACCATGGTGGGGCTGAGGTAGTATAGACCCTCCGCCTCTGAAAGTCCCTCTCCGGGCCCCCTCTAACTCAAATTCCTGGATTTGCCACTGGAGAAGCAGACACACAAGACGAGTGGTCATTTTTTTTTACGGTAAACGAAGGGGGAGGGGGTCAGCCACCATATTATTCACCCCCTAGATCTACGACTGCGCATTGGTATCCTTGTTTTATATTAGTTCTATTAATCTGATTAATTACAGCGTTACAGGGAGTGAAGTTGTTTTATGAGAAGAAAATAATTAATAAGGATTAGGATTGGTTTGAAAGGCTTACCTTAGTCGATTTTTGTGTCTACTAATATGTAGAAAATATATTACATTTTTTCTATTGTACTATAATAGGGCCTAGGCCATTGAATTGTTTTCATTTTTTCCTGTGATTAAGACCAAATCCATACCGCTAAAATAAGGCTAACTAGGTCTATGTATTATTTCACTCTGTGTAGGCCCCATGAATTGATAATATTCCAGGGATCCTAATTTTTGGAAAGAAAAAAAAAACACAGGGACAACTTATTTTTCTTACACTAATTGAAATGTCAAGCCAAAATTGGTCCGGGCCAAAAAATGTCCGACAGACAAATTTTGGCCGCCAAAATCGGTCTGCCGGACAGATTTTGGCCGCCAAAATATACTATAGAAGATCTATGTTCATTCCTATAGATGAATAAATACAGTTCAAACTATTGAATGGCTTATATCACTTTTTCAAACTCTCTATACATTATTTTTTTCATTCTGAATTCTTGTCAATTCAAAAAAAAAATTATTAAAATAAATTTAAGTATCAATCAAATAATAAATCAATCATATCAAGCAAATAAAATAATTATAGTTTATTTGAAGACTCATTATTAATATAATGAATAAATTCATTGATAATGCAACCAAAACAATTCTGTGTATTGTATTGTAACAAGCAAGATTCTTAAAATAAAAGGCAATATAAAATGTATTGAGAACATAACATGAAATAATGTGTAGAACTGTTTTATCAATAATAAACCAAGCTATCACTCAAACATGATCCTATTAGGTCCATGGTTTAATCAACATGAATTCGTCAGGCAGTAAGTGTAAATCCATTGTGTTTCTTTTATTATCGATAAAACAGTTATACAGATATATAAGCAATCCAGGTGAAACTATTTAAATACAGTTTAATTTGCTGAATAATTTTCAAATTGATCTTATTTTACATGCCAAATTGATGTGTTTTCCATTAATTAATTAATGATCTACAAGTCGAGATTTTCAACTGTATTTATTAAATAATGTATGAAATAGGCCTAAAATTTGGTCTATACTGATCACTTGTCATATTTATGGTGAATGTAAATAATATAAACAAAGGAAGAGGCTGATCTTCAATTCAATTCAAAATAACATTTAGCTTCCTTTGTAGCATAAATAAACAAAATAATGTTCATTGCGATAAATATAAAGAAAACAGCATACAAAAGAAAGGAGGGAGACAGCTGATACGATAAGGAAATCTTGTGCTGGGCCAGGTTCGAACACCAGCAGGGGCATTTTATTACACAATTTCTTTATTCATTTATTTACAGGACTACATTCGTTGCTATCTATGCTACACGATGTATTATTATGTCCTTTATTCGAACACTGTATAAAAAAATTGTATGTACAGAATATTAATTACAATTATATAAAAATATAAAAATCATGAAATATTGCACAAAGGCAAGCATAAGTCATACAAGCTTGGAAAAGGTAAATTAATATTATTGGTTTGATAACCTCGTAATGGTGTCAGATGACAGGGGGTAAAGGCCTTCCCCATCCTTGCACCACTGCAGGGAAATAAGGATGTGTCCCAGGGGTGTTTGATGCAATTATGTTAAGCACATAGAGGCAGTTAATTGCAGTGTACTATATATTACACTACTGTATTTAACATGCATAAGTTTTCTATTTGTTTTGTAATACCTGTCTCTTATACACATCTAGATGTGTATAAGAGACAGATATAGATTAAAAGGCAAAATACTAATAAGCAACAATGCTGTTGGAAGCAATGGTTGGATCTCGGTAGAGATATAAATTTGGTAAGCAACATCTAAAAAGTAAACATAAGTAAACAGCCAGAAATAGAACCAGATCTTTCGGAAAACACTAGTCCTTCCTCAGTGGAATGTATATATATTTGTATGTTTTACTGTATTGTACTATCATAACACCTATACATAGGGTTGAAATGGTTATTATATCAGTGCATGAATGATGCCATATATTACTGTATTTACAAAACTATAGTAAAAATTCTATCCTGAAATATAAAAATAATATTGTTAGTTACACACTACCGAATAATGCATAGTTCAGATCAGTGTTGCCGCCAGAGGGGGGCATAGGAGGCCTTAACGGAGTAATGTTCCCCACCAAGGATTATATTCGAGGACTCTGATCAAGGTTCCACAAAAAAGCATTTTCTTTTCAGATTACTCATCAGCCAACATACTCAAAAGGTCTGGACGATTTGTTTCCTGAGCAATATTCTGCATTTCCCGTATACTGCATATCCTTGATGGGTTCCGCGTGCATTCCCAGTGATAAACCACCATTTCAGTCCAGGAAATATTATACCTTGGCGCAAGATTGTCCACAACTTCTATATCACTAACATCCAAACCTTTAACAAAAAAATTTGTTGAAAGTGCATAAACACTACACATTAGGATTATTACAAAAAAATAAAAAATAAACTAATACAACTAGACTTTTGAGAGTATAGAATTACAGTACAGTATAAAATTCCCACGCATCTTTTCCCTTCGAAATAAGAAATATTTAAAGAAAACAAAAAATGAATCTCAATCTTCACCGGGATTCAAACCCACGCCCTGTAGCTTACAAAGTGAACGTCATAACCAACTAAACCATGAATGCGTTGTTATTAGTTATGTGCAATAAACAAAGTCTGTTAAATTTTGTGCAAATTAATTTTATTGTTTATAAAACTAGATGCGAGTACATGTAATAGTAAAATTTGATAACATTGCATACACAAATCAACCTAATTATGGAAAAATTCACTCGACTTACAAAAAAAACAAAAAAAACAAAAAAACATGTGCATTATATATAAATCTTGCCCAGACTATAAATTTCATTTGACAAAATCATGTGACATGCCTAAATATGGTCATGATGACATCACATCATGACCAAATATAGGACTTTTGATAATGTGGGCCGTCTGGCAGTCTTTTGAACAGCCAACAATTATTTAGGAAGGCCACTTTAACCGTGACAGCATGAACAGCTTGGCCTACTCGGCTCATCCTAGCCTAGTTGGTCTTGGTCTACCAGCAAATTCTTTATGATCTTCAAATCTATCGAACGCTGCATTAAACTAAAGAGGGGCCCATACAAAGTTTTACAGTATTTGCTTTAACATCCAACCTTACCAATTGCGGCAGCTAAGTGTTTCCACCAGCCTGAAGCATCCATTATGGCGAATAACTGATGACGTTTACTTGGTTTAATATTCAAAGAGTCTCTGAAACAAACTTGTTTCCTTCGAATTGCCTCTATTGTGTCACCAAGCTGCAAAAGATATTTAATGTGTCATTCAAATTTGAATACTGTACATGATAAATATAAAATCTAAGAATAGCCAACATGATTAACATTTTTTGAAATCTTTGTCTTCAATTATTAAAACTATTGATTTGTTTGTGTGTTTTAGTAAAAATGTTGAATTTCACACAAAACATATAGATTTTATTATACATTTAAAAAAGGAAATAAAAATGTAAATAATTTCATTTCATTTATTCAACATTTATTTGACCATTTATAAACATGCATGGAAATTAAACAAATCAAAGTTACAATATAGATAGAACATTTTCAAAGGACAACATAGAAGCTCTTGTGAGTTCGTCACTGTCGCCTCTTCAATGACAGCAAAAACACCATTAAACATGAAAATGAACAGAAAATATACAATCCTTTGTATAAATAAGATAAACATAATGCTTCTTCTCTGAATATTTACAAATGTAATTCAATTCCATAACTCTAATTATTTGTATTATTAAAATGCTAGTCAATATTATTTATCATTATTATCAAGTTTTGTAGCCTTCATTAGTTTTAGTTTGCCTGGATCATTGGGTAGTCAATAAAGGTCAGTTTAAGTTTTGATTTGAATTGTTTTACTGTGTTTGCAGATGTTACACCTTTGAATTCAGAAACGAAAGTCCATAGCTTTGGACCGTATACTTCCATGAATTGTTGGCTTGATGCAAGCCTGGTAAATGGCTGTTAACCACAAACAAATGGACCATTCCACTAAGCTCCACCCCTAGGATATTTTTGCTAAGGTCCCACTAAACTGATTGGCCAGTTGTTAAGTTTGACTGACACTCCAGAAAAGTTCATTGTGTCCAAGTGACTAAAGAGGATGGTGGTCTCCATTGATATAAAGGCTAAGAACAAAATGTTGGTTGTGATTCAAAAAATGCTTGTTGTACATGGTACAGTACGTTTAACTACATTGTGTGGGGGAATGTGTTGCCATGCACGTTCAGCTTTAACAACCATATTCTTTATACAAATTAGTAACTGAACTCAACTCACCGTCACAGACTCGAAATGACGAAGGTCATCCCTAAAAAGAAAAAAAATACATATCACTATCTATTAAATCTAAAAGCCTGCCCTCAATGTGTTGGTGGGCAAGTACCCAACTCACTCACACATATTCTTTTCTTGTAAAGCCTTAACGAACATTAAGTGTTCAGTTCAGTTTATTTTACATCATCAAAATACTTTACAAAAGAGATAAAATTTGCACAAGGCAGGACAAAAATATAACAACAAAAGATGATGCAAGGATGGCCCATTAGCGCACCCACAACCACGATTTCAGAAAAAAATTAAAGTGTTTCTTTATTTTTATTACACCTACCACTGCCTTGAAATATCCAAAATAAGATGTATATTTCTTACTAATTACATAAATTTAAAGCATTTATCCTATTATTAAGCTGTTTACATTCACCAATAAAATTTTATGTTTAATTCGTCTGGATGTTTTTCGCAAAACCATTTGCTCAATAAGAAAACAAAATTAAATTTTTATTCTTTTTCCACCCTCCTCTAACAATAAGTTCACGAAACAAAATATAAAAAAGTCTTGCCTGAAGGTGGTAAAAATTCTAATAACTAAAAAAACTTCAAAATACAAACAAAAAGTATAAAAAAAAACAGGATTAAAAAGAGGGAACAAGAATAGTGTGAAGAAGTAATATTAGACAATATTAGAAATGAATATGTGTGAGTAATCTGGACTAAATTACTGGGAAATAATAATAATAATAATAATAATAATGTAGATTTGGATAGCGCCAGCATCAAACATGATGCGCATGGGGCTTGATATGTAGACTAGGACTAGATGTTACACTTTTAAATAACTTTTTTTCCTCCCCTGAGGGTCACTTCATGTCCTCAGCAGCCCTAAAATGAGCGCACTTTCATCTGTCCACGACAGGGGCCGAGTGGACCAATACACCGTGGTAACCCCCTACTCGTCTGAAAGATGTACTGGGTTCTTTAAAGTGCACATGAACATTTGTGTACACTGGGCCTACGGTTTATAGTCCATATTTGAGAAGACTTGTTCCGTGCCAGAACTACAGTATAAGAGCGAGCCAACCGCAAACCTGCGTCGATATTGTTAGATAAAGGTTACGATGCCCCCGTCTTAATTGCTCGGCCATTTGACTCTATTCGAAAAGTCGGCTCGGTGCAGCTATTTCTACTCAGGTTTTGAACCCCATCTATGTTGTTGTTAAGCGCCTCAAGGTTGTGACAACGTGAGGAGCTATATAAATCCAGAATTATTATTTATTACACTGACCATTCTCGGCTGGCCATGCTCACGCTATGTTTAGGCGCAAGTATTTTATAGCTTATAAATTAATTCAATATTGTGGTTGCCCCTTGTCAATACTGATGGTAATATCAGGAATGATATACCAGGATTGAAAAAAAAAAATAATATATTGAGACACAAATTCTCATTGGATGACACAATGGAGGAAAACGTAACGGAACAAAGTGTATACCACTGATTGATTTAATGACAATCAGGACTACAGCAGTATGAAGCATTAACAAAATCATTATATATCGGTGCACTCACTATTCAAATAGTTGCTAGCGGTAGCAATTCTATTCAAGGTGCACACCATAAATGCTCGAATAAGCACTGCAGCACTTACAACATTTTTTTTCAAAAGCGGCGCTTATTCGAGTGGCACTTATTCGAGAACGGCGCTTATAAACAGATATTGCCGTGGCACTTTCCATTCCCGCTCACATGTTACCTATCTCATGTATTCCAGTAGTTCGGTAATCCTATCATAGGTCCCACATCAACGTAAATGAATGTTTGTAAAAAAAATGCTTGTGTCTTCATTGTGTTATTTATTTATTTTAACACTGTATTTAAAACCCTGTTTCTCAAAGTGTTTCACTGCACACAAGGTAATTATATTCTATATTAAGTGCCACGGTGCATATTCGAGAGCAACACTTGGCTAAAAAAATTCAGGTTTGTGCGGCGCTTATTCGAGAACGGTGCATATTCGAGAGCTCCGCTTATTCAAGCATTTACGGTACAACAGATTGTTTTAATGACAATCCGCTCAGTATTGCCTCAAAACTTACACAGAGCGGAGATGGATTTGCCGCCAACAGCCGTACAACCTTTGTACTGTGCAGTTTTTGCGTGGTTCTATTACGTAATTAAGTAATTTATGTTTGACCTACAATTTAAATCTCACCTGATTGGCAGAGGAGGTGGACGTTCCACAATTAAACTACCATTTTGATAGCGTTTAGAATCATTTTCCAAATTTCCATATTCCCTTGTTAACTCTTCTACACAAGCTGTTGATTTGCTTTCAGAACCTTCGAAATGACAATTAGTTATGTATCCACTTCCACCTGAGCAAGATAACATAATTTTATATCATTCATTCATTAATTCTCAAAGTACATTTATTCAAAAACAAAAATTGATAAAAAGTACGAAAAATTGGCGCACATAGTTTTGTTTGGTTTTGCAGTTAAAAAACTTAATTACAATATAATACAAGAAACTAAATAAAAAAAATGTATAGTTCATGAGACAATCAGAAAAAAACAAATACACTAAACATATAAAATTATTATTTAATATATCAATAAACTATATTTTTAAAAACAAACTTTTAATTACAGATTGGTTATGTAATTCACATGAAAAATGCCTGAATGGATGGTGTTTTCCCCCATATAAATAATTTCATGTCAAATTACCCAAAAATTTACCGCAATCTCTTGGATTTTGCTCAAATTTTAGTATGTGGTTGGGACCCATGAGAAATGAACAATTTTTGCTCTAGGCCTCTTTATTAGTAAAAAACGTGCTAACAAAGTTTGAACTAATTAGTGGTACCTTGCACAGTTAAATGATCGCATCTCAGCAGGTATAGCTCCTTTTGAACAAATTCCAAGAGGTAAATTCTTGGTTGATTTGACATATCATGGCCTCCAACCTCTAGGGTAGTTGCGCAAAAATGCCTCAACCAGGGCCTCAGGCCTCTTTGTTAACACCAACAAAATATCTTAAGAAATCTTTATGGACAAATGCTAGGTAAGTATACAATGACATAAAGTTGGGTAAGGATTCGTTCATATTCTTCTTACCATAAATTAGATCAGGTCCTGGGTTACGATCTGGAGAAGTAGGTGGAGATGGCTTCTTTGCCCTTAAATCCCGTTCTTTCCCTGTCAACATTCAAGAAATAACAGTCATGATTGATTAATTGATTGAGCGATTTAACTGACTGGTTGGTTGATTGACACTTTTCAAAATCAAAATAAAGAATTCAAAATAAAATCAACACTAAACATATGATGTACAAAAAGATTAATTGACTGACTGACAGTGACTGATGATCCGTTCAGACTGCAGTGCCACCGACAATCAATAGCTGGTATCACATTGTCTAGAACTAGCAGGGAGCAGTGTTAGATCGTCCCATGATGCAGTAAGCGCCCAGCTTAACATACCATAGAGGTATAAAATTTTAAAACCTCTATGAATGGACTGATTGATTTATTGAGTAATCGATTCATTAATTTGAGACTGATGGATTGACTAATTGAATGACCAAGTAATTGATTTATTGATTGATTGAAAATTGATATATACACACACACACACACACATGTGAACAGTTAGCAGGATCCAGATAAATAACATATGCGCTCACTTTTGCGTTCATACAAGAAAATCCCTGATCCAGATATCAAGAAGATGATGATGGGATCACTGCTAATAGGAAACTGGAAATGTGTACGGGATGATTGGTTAATGATTGAAACAGTCTCAACTTTCTAACCAATGGGGCTTGATAACAGTTAGTGTATCCAGATCCTGGAAATGGTTAGCGATAACCGATTGGATGTTCTCACACTGGTGCTAACGGTTAGCTCCCAATCCGGATACTAGGGTTCCAGTGTGAACCCAATCTTACTGATACAGACAGGTAAGTTGACTATATTAAATGAGTGATGTGTGACTGATTAATTTATTGAAGAATTGATTTAAGTGATATTGCAGATGGACAGACTGACTGTTCAATCGATTGATTAAGTAACTCTTGGATTTATTGATTGGAGAATTGGTCGAGTGACTGGTAGACTGACTAACTGATTGACTGACTCATTGGCAGACAGACAGACAGACAGACAGACAGACAGACAGACCAATACTGAGTAGTTAACTATCTGGATTGAAATACTTATTACTCACTTAATAACTACTAACTAAGGTTGTGTTTACGAACTTTCAATGAAACCGGATAAGTAAAAAAATGACATAATGCCCAGAGGGTAGGTTATTAGATTGCTCGTTTACGAACCCCAAGTTATTCGGATACGGACAGTAAGGTATAGGCCTTTCATGTATTAAAACAAAACAAACACTTCACCGCTTAGCCTTCCTCTAGCCCAACAAGGCAATTCAACAACGAATTACCTCGCCTTGCCTACGCTTGTACTCCAACAAATTCTAAAAAACCCAGGCCTTAGAAACTAGAGCCTAGCCAACTGGGAAAATTACAAAAAAAAAAAAATACAAAAAAAAAACAAAGGAAAAAAATAGCCCACGGACTTACTACTACGTGTACTATTAGTTCCACTGATGTTCAGAGCCGCCAACGACGTGTCAACAGTGTGTGGTGGACAAGAAATGGGTCTATCGCCAAAAATTTCATTCATCATCGCAAAATACGGCCATTCTGTTGGGGTGTGGGAGGGGGGGGTTCCTGACTTCCTGTTGGGGTCCTTTTCCTGGGTGTATTTTTTTGCGCAGGTTCTTGCATTTGGTATTCTATCTGTGCGTGCGTAAAGTTATAACCCATTTCCCGCATCTTCTGTGCGATTTCTTTATAAACGGCGTTGTTCCATCGGGTTCCATCAAAACCATCTTGTATGGATGTCATTCCCCATATGCTAATTAACGTTTCGGTTGCTTTGTCAGTCTACCCACTCTGTTCAGCTGTAGCCATTGTATATAGGGGTATATCATTGTAAAAATAAACTTAATATTTCGGCTTAAACATTGGATAATATAATTTATAAAGTGAGGACTACTTTAGCGATGTCTCTGGACGAAGGCATGGATGAAAAGAAATTGCGGACTCAAGGCTTAATCTGAATAGATTTCTCATAAAAGTAAGGTCAGATGACACCATGCTGTGGGCTATTGCGCCCGAGGCAGCCTCCAACCCTCCAAACTTACCTGGAAAGGATAAGCCCCCGGAAAGTCCAGATGTTTTAGTAATTATAGCTAGATGAGGAACGATTAATTATCACCTCAGGCTTGAGTTATCCGGTTTTCGAAAGTTCGTAAACGGGCCCTAATTGATTGGCAGACTGAATAAATGAGTAGTTAACTATTTACTGATTGAAAAATTTATTAAGTGATTAATTGACAAGTTGATAGAGTGATTAGCAGACTGTGTTTAATTTACTGATTGGAAATTGATTAAGTGATTAATTGACAAGTTGATAGAATGATTAGCAGACTGGCTAATTGTGTAGATTGATTGTGGAAATTGATTAAGTGATTAATTGGACATTGTATGTCGTTGTGGACGGACGAAAGTGCGCCTCTTGGCAGCTGATCAGACATGATGTGACCTTTGGGGGAGAAAAAAGTTGTAGAATAAGTGGTCCACACCTGTGCGCATTTCAGCCTATAGTTGCAAGTCACATGCTATTTCCTACCGTCACCTTTATTTCTTTGGTGGCTCTTCAGCAATACCAGGTGAAATCTCGGAGACAACACTCTAAGACGGGATCTTACCTCTGACTAAATCTGGTACCCGGGGACCCGGCCTCACTGGTTCCGTGAAATGTGAACGTGGTTCCTCATGCTTTTTGGTCATAATTTGTGTAACACTACTTCTCTGGTGTGGTGAATGGGTGGTGTTTTCTTCCGTTGTCAATTTTTCTTCCACTAAATAAGAAATACAAGAATAAAAATCATTGATAATCTTATAGAAAATATTCTTCATTAGACCTTACTTTATGAAATTGATTTGACTTAGCAAAAACAAGCTATGAACATGGTAACAATCAACTATTACAACAAATAAAAGAGATTCCCGCTGCTCAGAGAACTCCACTGCTCTGAGGATAAGAGACTAATTAAAAAGTCTGGCATATCTAGGATTCTTGAAAAAGGGAAGCTGATGGGAGGGAGGGACACAAAGATGAAGTGGGGGAAAGCTTGATGACCAGGTTGGGGCTTACATAATAAGGTGACTTGTGGTAATTTTTAATTAACTATTTAAGCATGCTTTTTTCTTGTTTGAACATTTTTAATGGGGGAAATGCGAGTGAGAAGGTGACTGGGGGTGAGACTAGGAAACACATTTTTTTGGGGGGCATGCATACAGTTATTATTATTTATAATTATTAAATGTTTACCAAATACCTATTATGATAGTAATTGTATTGATAATTAATATGAGTGATTCACTTATATTAATTAATAATTATAAATACATAAACCATAATTTATTATTTGTCCTCTTTATGACAAAAGGGAAACTTTTGAACAGGAAATTCTTGACAAGTAAAGCAAGTGTGGATACAAAAAAAGGTAATATTTAAATCGTTAGTATGGCAAGTGCCATTGTATGGCTGAAAAGCATGGAGGAAGTAAACGGGATAAATGCATTTGAAATGTGGTGGTGGTGGAGGAAAATGTAAAAGTACAATACACCGAACATACATTAGGAGAAATTAAGACATTTTGATCCAGTTAGGAGAAGAAAACACAAATAATGAAACAAACACCAAAATAGCAAAAGAGATAGATGGAAAAAGGAGGATTATTGAAAAATGTCATTGAGGGAAGATACAGTATGATGGCAGACCAGGTTGAAGAAGGAAAAGAATAAAATAAAACAAGGCTAACGATTGGAAATAATTACTATGAATTAAAGGAAAGAGCACTTAATAGGGAAGAACGGAAGGAGATGATTGTCAAAGACTTGCCAACTTGCAGATGACAAAATAAATTGTTTGTTTGCCCTTCTTTTTTTAAAAATGATAAATAGGGGCGGGTGGAAAAAGTTTTTTTTTTATTTATTTATTTTTTTTAAATACTTATCAGATGGAATAAAAATAACCCACAGAGGCCTAGAATGGAAATATCTTACATCAGACAACACATTTAGACTAATTTGTAGAGCATCTGGCAAAAAATAAAGATAAATTCACTCATATTTTTTTTAATTTGTTAAGAAAAAAGCTAAAAAAAAAAACTTTTTAAAAGTTTTTTTTTTTCCCGCCCTATTTTAGAGTTAAGGGCGGACGGGGAGGGCAAACAAATAATTTTTTTGGCCTAATACATGACTGTTATAAACTAATTAAATCTCAAAATAGGGAAAATAAAAACAAAATATGACATGTGTAGGTGGATATATATTTCAAAGGTCTGTACTGTAACCGCAACAAATAAGCGCTATAGAAGTACCACGTAACAAGCGTTTTGTTCACTGGCAAATTAGCAGTGCATGGTAACAGAGCCGCAGATTTATCTTTGGTGGAAGCTACCAGAGCTCAGCATACTAACGCTGAGGTACCCGCCACAACTGGGGCAAAAAAAAAAGGTTTGCGCCTCCAACCACGAAAATTGTCTCTATAAAATGAATCAGCACAAAATGTTTAATCTGTACACTATATAGAGCTCAAAAGATTATTTTGAAAATTTTTTTCTCCAAAAATGTGTCCAGGACATTCATGATGCCTCCAAATACCAGTTGTGCAGTCTCACACCATTTCCAGGCCTGGTATCTGCATGTACTGATGACGATGCTATCTCAAAATTGGGGGTGTTCACATTTCTCCTTTCCTTTGCTCAAAAGATTATTTTGAAAATTTTTTTCTCCAAAAATGTGTCCAGGACATTAAAGTTTATTTTCATCCATTAAAGTTTATTTTCTTTGTGGCTAAACAGAACCTTGAGATGGATTATATTGTGGTGGACGGCACTATAAACACACAGCATTGCATGCCTACTTAATTGTTAATTTGCTTACCTTTTGCCTCACCTTCTCTGTGCGCCATTTCCTTTTTGGCTTTGCCTATTGCTTCCTTTATCTGAATCATATCTGTTGATTTCTGAGTCTTTATTTGGAAAAACCCTGTGAATGAGATGGCATTAATTTCAGCATTTGAAAATAATAAATTATATTATA